TTGGGGTAAGAGGGGGAGGGGATGAAGAGCGCTTGTAGATAGAGCGTACTAAGCCACAGAGCTGCACACGAAGCGAACGAAGAGGCAGAAATCAAAAAAAGAGGCCGAAGAGGCAGAAATCAAAAAAGAGCCAGCACTGCACGCTCGTTTCGTTCGTCTTTGCATGAAGGTGTGCGGTGTCTTTAACCTTCTCAGTTTTTCAGAGGAGCCATGGGGTTGGTAGCGAGGCGACGTTTTGTTTCCTCCGTCAGTGTCCGACCGGCAAAAGCCGTGTGGCCCTCTTGCAAGTGCGCGGGGCGGTCCTCCAAACGGCGCGTGTCCCGGCGAATGTTTTTCTGCTTGGAACGCGTCTTTGTCCGCCGGCGGGGTGCCTGGTTACTCCCGTGTCTATTTTCAATCCCCCGTGTCTCTGTTGTCCACGGCCTGTGGTCGCCGTCGTTGGCGGGTCCAGGAGGGGCGGCCTGGGCGGTTGGTGCCCGTGATTCCTCATAGGGCTTCCCTTTCTTGCTTGACGCCGAGAGCACATTGTGTGGTGACTTAGCGTCCGCAACATCTTGGCCCGTCTTCTCCTCATTTGCATTTGTGTCTCTTTCCCCTTTATCTCCTTCCTTTTTTTTCCTTCGTTTCTTTTTCTTGCTGTCTCCAGTTTGCGTGCAGGCGACGGCGTCGATGGAAGCACGTGGCAGGGAGGACTGCTTAGAGGCGAATACGTGAGCTTTTGAATCGACCACTTCGCCATCATCCTCGGCGCTATCCTCTCTTGGTTCATTTTTTGCGGTCGCCTCGTCTTCTTTCTCTCTCGGCCTCTTGCCAGGTCTACTGTTCCCCCGAAGGAGCTTCTGTAGAGTGCTCATAGAGCCTCCAGCCGCATTTCCCTGTCTGTCCTTGTCTTTTTTAAAAGCCAAGCCTACTCCTGCCCGTTTGAAGCGCCTGGAAGTAGAGTGTTCTCGTGTGTGATCTCTTTCCATGTCCTGTGGCCCCGTGGCATCCTCTGGATGGGTAGTATCTTCTCTAGAAGCTGTCCCGTGCTCTAACCATTTCGAGACAGCGCTGAAGGCCGAGGTGTTGAAGACGAGGGAGTCCGCCATGACGCTGTTACCTGTGGGTGAGCAGTTAAACATGCATGAGACTGGTCGTGGACAAAAACTATTTAAAAGGTTTGCTGTGGGATGCCGGGCCGCCGCCTGCATACACCGGAGGTCATCGCCCTTAAAGCGCTCACATGGGCCATGTCGTAGAAGAAAGCAAATCAAAAGTCTACAGGCGTATACTTGCGTTCTTTTTCAAAGACGAATCAGTGAGATAATAAGCTTATCTTCCTTTAAATTGTGTAGACTTCTCACTACACTGTCTGGCATGGTAGCAGGAAATAACCTTTTCTCTTTCCATTTCTTCAACCTCCTCTGCCGTATACTTCAAAAAGGACTGTAATACGTCCTTTGTGTCTTGACCCAGCAAAGGGGGCGCAGAGCGGATGGACGGTTTTGTCCCTGAATATTTGACAGGAATGCCGGCCAAAGGTAGATCCCCAATCGTTGGATGAGCGACTTTCACAACCATACCACGGTGCTGGGCTTGTTCGTCTTGAAAAGCTTCGCCAATGTTACGCAAAGGTCCACAAGGTAACCCACCGATTGCCTGCATTGCAGAAATTACTTTTTTTTAAAAATGAAGCGTGCGTCATTTTTCATGCATCATTAAAACCCCAAAAAAAGTTAAAAAAGAGGTAAAAGAGGACGAGGGCGGAGGGGAGGAAAGAGGGGGCGGGAAAAAAGAAGAGGAGGGCAAGAGAGGGACGAGACAAGCTTTTGAAACCCAAGAATTTATCGCACATAACCTTGCATGATCCATAACGCACCTCAAAAAGTTCATCGAGCTCCGTGCGTGTTTTCGTAAGAAAATACGTCTCCAGAATTCCTATTAGGGCCTTGCGATTTTGCGCTCGGTCTCTATTCGTCCCAAAACGAGGGTCGTTGCATAATTGAGGCATCCCGACGGCGTTTGCCAGCTTCTCAAACTATAAAGGACAGTATGAAGGGGAAGGCACGAGGGATGTAGCGTATAAAATACTCGTGGACGCATGGCGCAAAATGCAGGCTCTGATGCCTGCCACGCTTGTGTACAGTTTCAAGAGTCCATGAACGGCACCCTTGAACGATCAACACAGGCATCTATGCTGGCAGGAAGCCATGAAGCCAGTATATGGCTGATCAAAGCTTGACATTTGTCGTCCTCTTCCCTGTCTTACCTGCTTATCGTTTCCGGCCCCCACCATGTACTTCCCATCTTTGCATGAGAAAGCCTGATATGGCACAATGCTCTCATGCGCGGTCCCCCTGCGACAATGTCAATACAAATGTGTTATGTCAATCTTCGAATGAGCTTGTTTCACATTGGTCGTTATCATCTTTTTCTGCCGTATCGACCCCTTATGTGCACCACAAAGAGACAACTACTTTGCATACCATGTCTTTGCCTCCTTGGTCGCCCCCACGAGCCAGTTCTGCCCAATGTTGACAAGGCAGGCCAACTGGGTCTCCATCAAGGAGCAGTCGACTTTCTGCCCCCGGCCTGTTCGGTGACGGCTGTGGAGTGCGGCAAGAATAGCGCCGTGCGCGAACAAACCAGTCGCCAGATCAACCATCGCGACCCCTGCATGTGTGCAAGAATGAAAAAAAGTATCAACGCAATTGCAGTTTCAAACGAAACAATTCCCACTTCTTGCCTCGAAGTCAAATACCTGTTTTAGCGGGCTCCCCCCCCTCGTCGGAGGGCGACCCTGTGATGGACATGAGCCCGTACATGCCCTGCGTAATGACGTCGTAGCCGGGACGGTGTGCAGCAGGCCCATCGCTTCCATAGCCCGTTATACTGCAATAAATTAATCCGGGGTTTAATTCCGATAACGCCTGGTACCCCAAGCCAACCGACTCCAGTTTCCCCGGCAGAAAATTTTCGATGAATACGTCGCTCTTTGCCGCAAGACGCCGCAAGATCTCTAGTCCCTTGGGTCGCTTGAAATCTACAGCAACACTGCGTTTGTTACGATTTACACACAAATAGTATGCGGCCTCTCCTTGAACGAAAGGTGGACCCCAATGCCGGGTATCGTCCCCACGACCAGGATGCTCGATCTTAATTACATCTGCACCTAAGTCACCCAATGCCATGGTGGCAAATGGCCCTGCAAGCACGCGCGTCAGATCAAGTACACGCAACCCGTCCAAAGGACCCTTGTTTGTGGCCATATTCGCGGTCTCAGTCATGGTAGTACGGGCGGCGCGCTGAAGCATAGCTGAGAGATGAGGAGGTTGAAAATGCCTTGTACGAATCCGCCCCCTGCAGCGCCAGAGTTCCCTCCTCGTGGTTGCGCACAGCTGCTTCCTCATGAATTCTCGCAGTGAGTCGGCTGTAACAATGCAGATAATCTGGCTGGTGGGAAAATAAGTTGAGTTTCGGGTTGGACTTGGTTTGTTTGAAGCTCGCGTATGTCGCCCACCCCAGTTTGAGCGACTGCTGGGCCGCTTCCTTTGTGCCGTAGACTTATCGTTGCAGGATGATGTAGTAGATGCAACGCGCTCAATCTCAATCTCATCACAATGACATAGAAGATAGAGATGTCTATTGATCCCAGGGAGGACGGCTTGGAGCATCAGTACGATGTTATAATCATCGGTACCGGTTTGGTAGAGGCGATACTTTCAGCGTAAGTTTACAGAATGCTCCCCTTAATAGAATAGGAGGTACTTTTCCAAAAAATATCTCACAACCTGTCAACTACAGTGCGTTGACAAAAGTGGGCAAAAGCGTTCTCAACTACGAAAAATACGATTATTACGGGGGAGAGGACTGGCCTTCCTTTCATTTGGAAGCCCTGCAAGCCTGGGCGAAAGCACATCGTAAATCACAAGATCCAGCAGGATCCGCCCGAGCAGTAGCACCAACACAGGCAAAGCTTTGGGATACTCCTTGTGTTTTACGAAGGCGATGGCCCGCAAGGCGGTGGCGAGCTGCGGGAGGGATAGATCGGGGGGATCGGGAGGAAGGTGAGAAGGAGGAGGGTAGCGGCGAGGGAACAGACCCTCCTATCGATGAAGACGCACCCTCGAAATGCTTGATGGTTCCCCTTCCTGGCCACGATTCCGTCTCGACTCGTGTGATTCAAATAGACGAGAATCTGCCCCCACGGGGGCGAGCGGGAGCCGAGGAAGGCCCATTCCATACGACCGACGGTCCCACTTCAGCCCCCCCAAGGGCCTTTCCCTCTTCTTCTCTACCTGCGCAAGCAGAAGAGGGGAAGGGGAATACAAAGACGTGCTGGAATGCGGAATCTCTCATTGCACGCTCGCGCGACTTCAACCTTGACTTGTCTCCCGTGGTGCTCATGGCGGGGGGCGACATGATCGCCCCCCTCCTCTCTTCGGGCGTGGCCAGCTACCTTGAGTTCCGACCCCTCCACGCCTTGTTCATCGCATCGCCGTCTGCCTCCGCCATCCGTCCCTCATGGAAAGGCACCCACCAATCCGAAGCCTCAGAAAGTGCCAGCACAGGCGAGGATTCGAGCGGTCCCGGCGTCTCCCCCTCAGTGGCTTTTTACCCGGTTCCTTGCTCCAAACCCGACGTATTCTCCTCCCACCTGCTGCCTGCCAAAGAGAAACGGCAACTGATGAAATTTCTTCAAGCGGTCGCAGACTGGGGCTTTCGCGCTCAAAGTGGAAAAAGTGCGCAGCACCGAAACGAAATCGAGTTGGGCCAAGCGCGTTCCCTGCAGCGGCCCCAGAATAAAGTCAGCGTGGAGCTGGAAACAGACGCCTACTTACAACGACCATTGAGAGATTTCTTGGAACATAGTAAGATGGATGAGCACCTGCAGTGGGTCGTCTGGCATGCCCTTGCCTTGCTTCTGGGTCCAGGGGAGGGAGGGCGGGAGGGCGGGGACGAGGGCGAGCGGCAAGTCACGACCGAGGAAGGGCTACGACGGATTTGGGGCCACTTGCAAGGCTTGGGTCAGTACGGGAAGACCGCTTTTTTGTGGCCGATGTACGGAGGAGGAGATCTTACGCAGGCCTTTTCTCGCATGTCCTCCGTGTGGGGCGGCACCTACCTCTTACGGGAGCAACCGGCGCAACTCGCCGTGCACCCAGAAACAGGAAACTGCCTCGGCGTCTTGGACAGGAAGGGAGCGGCGATCAAGTGCGAACATGTCGTTTTGGGACAAGGGAACATGCCGGCGGAATGGAGGGGAAGACGGCGGAGGGGCGGGGTGGACCTCCGCCTGGGCCCGGAAGGAGGAAGTGGGGGGCGATCACTCGTGCGTCGGGTGGTGCTACTGGACTGTGCTCCTGCCGCCTTGTCGTGGAAGACGGGAGGGATGGGAGGGGGGCCTGGTGATGACCAAGCGGAGGAGGGCGCTCGCACGGAGACAGGAACTTGTGGTGGGGTTATGCCACCAGGGACGGTACCAGGCTGCTCAGGTGACCATCCCGACCACTCCCACCCCGCGGTTCACTTCTATTGTGTCGATCCTGCCGCCCGATGCTCCCCTCCGGGTACCTTTATCCTCTACCTGGCCACCATCAGCTCGAGCCGCAGCAGCGAAGGAGAGGGTGGGAACTCAGATGAGACGAGCACGGCGGCCGCCCGACTCTTGAAAGCTGCCACTTGCATCCTGATTGACTCCCCTGGAGAGCACGTCTTATGGGCTGTCACCTACGAACAACCTCTGGGTGGCTTGTCCGACCCGGAGGGGAAGGAGGCATGTGGGGAAATTCCTTCGGGCCCCCACCCCGTGTGCCTCGTCCCCCCCGTCTCCCTCCGTCGCCAAGAACGTCCTGACCGTCGAACGCATAGCTCCTGAATTCTACTTGGACTCACCCTTGAAGCAAGCACGGCATCTCTTTGAATCTATTTGTCCAGGAGAAGCTTTTCTACCGGCCGAGGTTCCCGAGGGAGTGCTGCCCTTCGATGTCGCAACTACGGACGGAGGAGATGACCATGAAGAAGCCCTACTAGAGGAAGCCATGACATCGCTTAACTTGCAGAAGAAAACTTATCCAGCGAACGAGGTGACGGGAACCGGAAGGGGGCATGGGTTAGAGCACAAGAAAGAGGAAAGGAATACTTAAATGAAAAAGCGACAGTTATGATTTAACCCTATTGCTTCAAGAGACTTGTGATGAGTTATTTCTGGTCTTCATATTAATTTGTTCCATTTTGTCCTGGTATACAGATATGTATATGTCATTTCCAGCTTTAGAAATCTCTCTGACCATCTATCCAAGGCCACATCTACTGGTCCCGTGGTGTAAAGAGCTGTTTCTCAGCATCCGACTGTTCCATGCTCACACTTGTTCATCCCCCTTGACAAACCAGTCGTAATTTGCCCTCGAAAGGGCAATGTGTAAATCCCTACTCGCATTTGAACCAAACAGAAAACTAATTTCCTACTGAAGTCTTTCTGAGGACGGGAGGTAAACATACTTGAAGGACAGAGGGGCACGATCGCGCCAAAATTCGTTTCTATTGACATGCTCAAGTTGTAACGATTTTTTTGTTTCAAGGAATGTAGAAAGTTTGAATTAAAAAATCGTTTTGAATTTTTGGCCCATCCATCTCGTTAATGCTCCAGGCAGCGACTCGTCTGCTTGCCTGCTCGCCAAAGGCGACGGGTCGCACTCGTATATTGCTGACTTGAAAATCGTCCAATGCCAATATCCAACACGATGCAAACAAAGAGCGCAACAAAGGGAATGCTGCGGTCTGATAAGGCATACTACGTGCTCGTTTTGTTTTTGGTAGCTCCCTTGGAAACCATGGCACGCGCTAGATCTGCTGGCTGCGTCATTCTTCCTGCGTTCAATCGAATGTCCACAACAACTATGTCGAGGCTCTGCGCAGACAGTCAAAAACTTGCTGAATTTTTGGATGGATGTAAAAACATTGTAGCGGTTACAGGGGCCGGAATCAGCACGGAAAGCGGCATCCCAGGTTAGTATAGGGGAGGAGGTTAGAGATAGTCCACTTCTGATCATCTGACTTATTTATTTCTCCGTCTATCTTACACGTATCCTGAAGACTACAGGTCCCCGACTGGTTCATTTTCTCGCGGATTCAAGCCCATGGTACATGATGAATTCATCAGCAAGCCAGTCAAGAGATCTCGCTACTGGGCGCGCTCGATGCTTGGCTACCATCGTTTTTCTCGTGCCCAGCCCAACAAAGGCCATCGAGCGTTAGCAGCCCTTGAGAACGATGTGGGAACGCTGGGTCTCATCATCAGCCAAAATGTTGACGTACGTGGCGGGGTCCGGGAGTACGATAAGTAGAAGGAAGCGCGAGCGCAGCACAAAGGTTCCCCCATTCGTGATGTTTCTCGGTGGAGGGCTGGTTTCGTGATCGACGACTCACGTGACTGCCACAAGACAGGGTCTCCATCAAAGAGCCGGGTCCAAGCGTGTGCTGGATCTGCATGGGCGCAACGACCGGATCGTATGCCTGAGCTGCGGGCTGCAGATCCCTCGGCGCGGTTTTCAGGCAGCCTTAGAGGAGCTAAACCAGCAGTGGGTGCGACAGAACGTCCCTGCGACAACCTTGGAAATGTTCAGCGACGGAGACGTGGACCTTGAGAACGCAGTGTTCGAAGACTTCGCGGTCCCGTCCTGCAAGGCATGCGGGGGGGTCCTGAAGCCCGCCGTCGTCTTCTATGGGGACGTGGTGCCTTCGGCCGTGGTCCAGGAGGCATTCGCCGCCGTGGACGCCGCAGACGCCGTACTGGTGGCGGGGACAAGTTTGATGGTTTATAGCAGCTGGCGCTTTGTCCTTGACGCGGCTAAGAAGGGGAAGCCCATCCTGGTGGTGAACCAGGGGCAGACTCGGGCCGAGCGGGAGGGGGTGCCGCATCTGAAGATCGAGAAGGGATGTGGAGAGGTCTTGGAGGGGGCAGTGCAGGCGTTGCTAGGAAGTCGGGTGGAGCAATGCGAGGGAAAATAGAGGCAGCATAATCCGGGCGTTCCGGGAATGTGTCAACAAGGCCCCACAGGGATGTGATGCGCTCAGAGGGGCGATGTCTAAACCGAAATCAATGATTAAATCCATACCATAGACGAGGCCATTCAACCAAAGGAATAAAAAATAAAACACTCATCCTCCTTTCTCGGAGCCCCATGAATTCTTTCATGTACCCAAAAAATCTGGTCACCTCCTTCGACCGACTTTTCTTGCCGCCCGTTCACCTACCCCGCCCTGGACTCTCCGCCTGTCTTCCTGCCCCAGTGTCCCCAGAAGTGGTTCTGCATGAAGCCCACCACGTCGAAGAGGGTGTGCACAAGGATCGGCACCCATAGGTTGCAATACCGAAGTTGTAGGCAGCCCAAGTACACGGAGAGGACCAGGGCGAGGAGGAAATAACGAGGCGTGGCGGCGTGTAGGGCGGCGAAGATGAGGGAAGAAATACCCAGACCCCACATGGGCTGACCCGTGGCTTGAGCGAATATGGGCTGAAGCGCTCCGCGGAAGGCGACTTCCTCCCCCATCCCCGCAGAGAGACTAAGGAGGACGGAGATGGCGATCACCACCGCCGGTCGCTTGTTGGCCGTGTCCGAGCCGAAGATTCCTTCCAAGGACTCCCGCAACATGTCCTCGATCTCGCGTCCGCTCGTGAGGTGGAGCAAGAGGGCGGGGAGAGTGAGGAGGGCGCTGACCGCGGCCAGGGGTCCAAAGCCGGAGGCGGCCTTGGCGGTGGCGAGCGGGTTGATCTTAAACACGTGCCCCAAGGGGAAGGCTAAAAGGCCCAGCAACAGCTCGCCGGCTACTAACGCTGCAATGGTCTTGTAGTTTGGGGAGCGTGGAATGGCAGGAGGAGGTATGGAGGGCTGGTCCGATGGGATGACTTCAGGAGATGGCGCCTCGCTGTCAGGAGGTTTTTGTTGGAAAAGAGGCTGCCGCTTCTGACATGGAAAACCGGTGCGAGAGGTCGTGGTGGCAAAAGAAGAGGAACTACGCGGCGATGGAGCGTGTGGGAATTGAAAAGGTGACGTGCAGGGGCGAGAACTCAGGTGGATGAAGCCCGCCCCGCGCGTCAGTGGAATGATAGTAAGTAGCAGCAGAGCAGGTAGGACATTGAGGACGTGATTTAAGCCCATGTCACTCTGTGATGATCGTCAACAATGATGTGTCACTGAGAAACAAAAACGACGGCGTAGAAGCCGGTAAACACTCGTGCGTGGGTGACGGCAAGGTCAACTTGTCTTTCTGCTCCGATTTTCGGGTCTCGGAGATGCCAAAATGCAGGCGTCAGCGATCAGCTTCCTCGCCCCAGACACATGCCTTCACGCCTGAGACGTAGATCTCCATGTACCTGGGCGTTCCATCGTCACCATGACCCGCATCGCAGGGTCGTGTGTACGCACGAGGCTGTTGGAATGAAGTTTCGACACGTCGAGCGACTTTTTGTTCGCGGGGTGGTGGCCTTGCTGCCCTCTGGTGGCGTCTCCTCTCGAGGCCTAAGTCTTCAGGCAACCAACTCGCGATGTACTCTCAGCGTGTATCGCTCCCGCCACAGCAGGCGTGCTTAAGCGGGTGCCAAGTCAGCCTGCAGTGTAGAACAGAGGGGTACTCGGGTCTCCATGCATGATGCGGGCATTGCTTTGTGTGCGTGTTTAATTTACCGCCGATTTTCCTGAGTAGTAGTCAGTCGTCGGGAGTTCTACCAGCTGTTCGTGTGTCACTTTCTCCTCGCGACACAGAGACCAGGCTTCTTAAGAAAGAAACTTGCCCGCCCCTCGATTGTCCCCAACCATGCTGTTTTCATGCCACCATGTACATGTGCAGCCTTGTGGCAATGTGTGGTGTCGTGCATGTAGTGGGAAGTAACGGGGCAGGTCACAGCGTTTCAAGCTCCCCGCGTTTATTTTTTCGGTGGAACGCGAAGGCATCATCGAGGAAGGCGGTCAATTCCGCAGAAGTTCAGTAGAACCGGTGCATCACTGACCATGGCCATCGTTAATTATTGTGCATCATCACGTACATGACAGGATCGTTGAGTTTTTAAGAAGTGAGCGTGTGTGCTGCCTGCTGCAAGCAACTGCCTCCTTCGCCCTGCCCTGACTCGCGCCTCTATCTGCCGAGTCACCAACAACCTTCGTCCATCGAGCTTGATTTACGCCAAGTCAAACTAGGACGGCGAAATTTATTCAACTATCAGTCAGCGCCTTCCTCTTCGGTAATCCTGTATTTGAAGCATGAAAACAGCTAGCGACAGAGCCTCCATATCAAGAAGGGCTCGGCTCCTATTCACCACGACAGCCGCCTGCGGATTGACGCTGTGCCCTT